AAAAAAAAAAAAGAAATTTTAAATTGTCCTAAATTACAGCTACATAAAGTGGAAAAGACTGGGTTAAATGTGTGTTGAGCCCAGAGCTCTACCAGGCTCTGATCAGATAGGAGGGTTGATTCCATAATCTGATTATATGAGGTTTTATTGAGCAACTTCAAGTTATTAGAACTATACTTGATTTTAATTTGTTTAAAATTACAAACATGATGGCTCGGTGCCTGTGGCTCGGGTAGCTGGGGCGCCAGCCGCGTGCACCTGGGGTGGCGGGTTCGAATCCAGCCCGGGCCTGCCGAAGAACAATGATGGCTGCAACCAAAAAAATGGCCAGGCATTGTGGGGGGTGTCTGTGGTCCCAGCTGCTTGGGAGGTGGAGGCAGGAGACTCTTGAGCCCAGGAGTTGGAGGTTGCTGTGAGTTGTGATGCCACGGCTCTCTACCCAGGGTGACAGCTTGAGGCTCTGTCTCAAAAAAAAAAAAACTCCAAAAAAAAAAACAAACAAAAAAAAAATTACAAACATGATGAATGATCACGGTGAAAAATTCAAAGTATAGAATCAGATCTCTGGGAGATACTGCCTTTTGTGAAGCCAAAGCGATGGGAACTGGAGAGGGTGGCCCTCTCCTGCTGCCCTGTGTTGCTCTGAGCCCAAAGTGGGCTCATCCTAGTCAGCTCCACTTGGTACAGAGCCTGTCCCTTGCAGAAGTTTCTGTTAACCTCCTTGCTGCAGATGGTAGCAATGTATGTGACTAATGTGACTCAGGTTGTTTCCTTTGCTCATTCCTAAGGACTGTAACCCACCGAGGGCTCCTCCTGCAGAACTGACTCTTTTACAACATTCCTACCAGAAAGAGAAATTTCTTAACTGTGAGGGCTGAAATGAGAAAGTCAGGCTCTTGGCTTACACTTGTAACTTACTCATAGTCAGAATTGTTCATTAGCTTTTGTCTAGGAAGAAAAACAAAAATTCCTGTCGGGGGGTGTGATGGGAAATTTGGTCTGGTACCTGTCTTGTGTTTTGGCTGTGAAGTAGAAATCACACTTGTATTGTGCCTTACCTCCTACTGTGTGGTCACCCTTGTTCAGCTCTTCAGTGGAAATGGGGGCCGGGGGATTGTCAGCTGCTTTTTGAAAATTTCCTCAGTATGGTCTTTCACGTGTTCAGATAGATGGCCTGATTTTTTTTTATTATAGAAACTTCTAAGTATTCACACGTATCTTCTTATCTCATCAGAGGCCATGACAATGGGCAAATTGCACAAAGAAATTGGTCAGCTAATTGTTCAGTCTGGAGAAGATCCGGAGAAATCAGACAGCCAGGTTATACAGGTAACTCATCTTCCAAATCACTAGCTGTGCACTCGAGCAGAGTGGAGGGTAGGGGAAAGGGCAGCAGGCAGGTCCACGGGAGGGCTTGCAGGTGGCCACAGTGATGATGGCCCAGTCAGACTCTAGAACAGGTGGATGAGGGGCTGGTGCTGAAGCCACCGCTGTCAGTGAGAAATATAACTGCCAGGTCACCTGAAATGCTGTTGTGAGCCAGCCAGTGCATTCTCTCCACCTAGGAGAATTTTCATGAAGGAACAAATCGTAAAGAGAAGGTTGCTGCTAAGCATAGGGACCTAAATAGACTGTTGGAATTTAGCTTTGCTGTGTTATCTCCAGGACAGCAGAAACCATATAATTAGGCTTTGTCCTACTTAGCAGGCTCCGTGATCACATGCTGCAGATTGGCTCCTTTGTGGGGTCCACCTGTCAGGCTGACCGGACTGTCTGTGTGGACCAGTTGGCGCTGCTGCCTCTGCCCATGCCAGACTGGAGTGGCAAATGGGTTTCATTTCCTGAGCCTCTCCACGTGGTGAATGCAGCTTGCCCATCCAGCCCCCTCCTATCTGCTGCCCATCAGCATTTGGCTGGTTTCCAGCTCCTTACTCCTCTCGGAGGGGATGTGCTTTATGCCTCCCCTGTCCCAGGCCCTGCCTGATTTAGGCTCATCTCAAACCCAGGAGCCTGGGGCTTGGAAGAACTGTCTGCCCCATCTGCACCTGTGCCACATGGGGGCCCTCTGACATGCAGGCTCTGCTCACCTGGTCCTACAAGCGCATTTACTGTACACAGTGTTCACTGAGCTCAGCATGTGTCAGGCATCACACTGGGCAGGGGATGCAGTGGAAGTGAACTCCCTGCCCTCACGGAGCCTGCACTTTAGTGCAGTAGCGGAACAGTAATAAATGACAAGACAGTCATGACCCATGATAAATGTATGACAGGAACAAGGGGCCGTGGTTGCCCCAGCTGTCTCCCACTGGGAGTGGGAGACAGCTCTCTGAAGGAGGAGATGTGTCAGTGCTGGTGGCTCTGTTTGCTGTGGCCAGGAAGTAGACAGGTCTTGCCCTAAGGACAAGAACACTGAGACTCTGAAGATGCTTCCTCCCTACAATGTAAACTACATGTCTACGCTCCCCACCATCATTAGAGTAAAAACACTCATTCTGGCCAGCTGTGGTGGCTCATGCCTTTAATCCTAGCACTTTGGGAGGCCAAAGTGGAGAATTGCTTCAGGCCAAGAGTTCCAAACCAACCTGGGCAACACAGTGAGACCCAACCTCTACAAAAAATTTAAACGTTAGCTGGGCATGGTATTGTGCACCTACAGTCCCAGCTACTCAGGAGGCTGAGGTAGGATTGGTTGAGTCCAGGATTAAGATGTTGCAGTGAGCTATGCTTGTGCCACTATATTCTACCCTGGGTGACAGAGTGAAACCCCATCTCAAAAAAAAGAAGAGAGAAAACAACACTTATTCTTACAATGTAAGTGAAATGTTAATTTGAGTTTTCAATCATTACGTTTTTCGTGGACTAAGTGCTACACAGATGACAGTATATTGTTTGAGACCTTAGGGAGGGTCCTCACTATATTATAGGGGTTCAGAAATATTTGAATGAATTAATGATGTCAGCAAATGAGAAAAAACCACACAATTTTAATGAGAGCTTTAGTGAGTCCTCAGCTGCCCCACAGGAACAAAACCTTTGTTGCAAGCACAGGGTTACTTCAGGCAGAAGACTTTTAGGAAGAGAATTCAAAACACAATAGCAGGGTTTCTCAAAACAAAGGCCGGGCGAGGTGGCTCACCCCTGTAATCCCAGCATTCTGGGAGGCCGAGGAAGGTGGATTGCCTGAGCTCACAGGTTCAAGACCAGCCTAAGTCAGAGCAAGACCTCATCTCTTAAAAAAAAAAAAAATAGCTGGGCATTGTGGTGGCACCTGTAGTCCCAGCTACTCGGGAGGCTGAGCCGATAGAATTGCTTGAGCCCAAGAGTTTGAGGTTGCTGTGAGCTATGATGCCATGGCACTCTACTGAGGGCAACAAAGTGAGACTCTCTCAAAAAAAATGTTCTTTGAACATAGAATTGCCCTATGAGTCAGCAATTCTGTGTCTGGGTATATAATTGAAAGAATTGGGCACAGAGATTCAAACAATTCTATTGCTTAATGACAGAGATAACTCTGAGAAATGAGTTCACATTCATGTACACAAACGTGTACTAGATGATACAGCCTACTATACACCTGGGCTATATGGTGTGGCCTGTTGCTTCCAAAGCTGCACACCTAGACAGCACGTGATTGTACTGAATACTGTAGGCAACTGTAACATGATACTAATTATTTGTGTATCTGAACACATCTAAACCCAGAAGAGATACAGTAAAAATATAGTATCATAATCTTATGGCACCAGGAGTATATATGCAGTGTCACTGTACAAAATGTCATTATATAGCAAGTGACTATACTATTTGTGTGGAAATGCTCACAGCAGTGTTATTTCTAGTAGCCAAAAAGTAGAACCAACCCAGGTGTCCTTCAGCAGATGAATGGGTAAGTAAAATGTGGTCTGTCCATACAGTGGGGTATTATTTAGCCTTGAAAAGGAATGAAGATCTGATAACATATAACAACATGGATGAACCTTGAAAACATGCTAATGAAAACACCCAGACACAAAAAGACAATATCTTAGGATTTCACTTACATGAAGTACTTAGAGTAGGCAGATTCACAGAGAAAGTAGAATAGAGGTAAGAAAGGGGGAATGGGAAGTTATTAGGGTATAAAGTTTATGTTTGGGTTGGTGAAAAAGTTCTGGAAATAGTGGGGGGTTTTGTTTGTTTTTGTTTTTTTGAAACGAAGAGTCTCATTTTCTTGCCCCTGGTAGAGTACTGTGACGTCATGGCTAACAACCTCAGACTTCTGGGCTCAAGCTATTCTCTTGCCTCAGCTTCCTTAACAGCTGGGATTAAGGGGACCTGCCACAACGCCTGGCTATTTTTAGAGGTGGGGGGTCTCACTCTAGCTCAGACTGGTCTTGAACCTGTGAGCTCAGGCAATCTGCCCATCCCAGCCTCCCAGAGTGCTAGGATTACAGGCATGAACCACCATGCCCAGCCCTTTTTCTTAGACAAAATGTCACTCTGTTGCCTGGAGTAGAGTACCATGGTATCATCATAGCTCTCATCTACCTAATAAATGGGACTATAGGCATGTACCACCATGCCTGGTGAGTTTTTTTATTTTTAGTAGAGACAGGGTCTCGCTCTTGCTCAGGTTGGTCTCAAACTCCTGAGCTCAAGTGATCCACCGGTGTTGGCCTCCCACAGTGCTAGGACTACAGGAGTGAGCTGCCTTGCCTAGCCTAGATAGTGGTGATGGTTGCAAACTCCTGAATTATACACTTAAAAATGGTTAATGTGGTAAAAAATAAAATCTGTCACACTGATTTTTCTAAATTACTTTAAGTTAGTTTTAGTTTTTATAAAGTTAATCCAATGAACTTTAAAATGGCAGGAAGAATTCTAGAGAGTAACTATTAAAATTTTTGAATACTAACATATTACATATTTTTCTTTTCTATTAAAGGATATTGCCCTAAAAACCAGAGAAATCTTAGCCAACCTAGCACTGTTTTCAGAAGTTTCAGATGATGGAGAAAAGCGAGTCCTCAACTTGGAGGCACTAAAGCAGAAACGATTTCCACCAGCAACAGAAAACTTCCTTTATCATCTAGCAGTAGCCGAACAAATGCTGAAAATCTGACTCTGCCAGAATGTGTTCTTGATGACTGATAGAAAACCCTTTCACTCTATCCATTAACTGTAAAATACTGAAAGTAACAGAAAAACGTTATATTTTTAATGATTTGACCTTAAAAACGTTGAAGCACATGAAAACGCTTCCTCTGATTTTCTCCTAGCTGATGAGAGTTTCCTGCCCACTGTCGGTGTTGGACAAAATGCTGTAACTACAATGTATAACATTACAAAATGGCCCAATGTCCTGGAATAAGAAAAAAAGCTGCGAAGTTCTTGTGCAAATCGCCATGAATGCGAAAGCCTTCCTTATTATTAAGTTCCGGTTTGTCTCATGGTGTAGCCATCAGCTAATGGTTTACTTTCCGAAAGCTGCCTGAAATTTTGCTTTGTATTCTTCTAGGAAGAACTTTAATTCCTCCTGAGGAACTCTACTTTCTGAGCCAAACTACTAAGTTTTCTGCAGAAGTATCTAAGATCAGTCAAAAGATCTTGTAATTTGCACTTTCATAAAAAAGTTTTTTCCTGGCCTTTGAACATTGTGCCTATATTGTGCACAGATTTTATACTTCAGTAGACTGCTGTATCATATTTATACTGTTGCAGAAGCAAACATGTGGCAAACTTAAGCCAATTAGTACTCCTTAGTTAACCCAGTTGCTAATAATATTCTTTGAAAAAAAAAAAAAAAGCCAGTCCTTACATGGTAAAATGGGAAGCCCAGTTTGAATATAAATGTCTGTAGGACTAAAACAGTGACGTTATGGTAAGGGAGTATGAGAGTTAACTTCTTACAGGGGCCAAAACCAGAAAATGTCTTCAGACAACTTTGGTGAAGCAATGTGGTCACTTCTTTTCAGTTACTACCTTTTTCATAATTGGAGACCTTAAAATTGCCAAATAAGCATGGAGGTCTAAATTATGTACTCCTTATTTTATTATGTATGTTCATATTAATTATGAAAGATTATTTTTTACTTAGTACGTCTGTCCTTAGAAATCCTACCTGGAAACATGTCTGTAAAAAATTTGTCTCTATTAGGTCTTTCACTTTTTTTTTAGTATTAGATATTTGTTAAGTAAAAATTAAAAATACCCTTTCACCCTCCCTCTTTTGGATGGGGGGAGGGAGGTCCTGAAATGAGGTGACGTTTACTGAGGCAAACAATTGAAATTAAATCTGCACTTTATGAAAATGAATACGAACATCTTTTGCTCTTTTTTTTATATTACTATATTAAATAATGATCGAAGTGGTTAAAATGACAAATCTGTGATACAGAAATAAAATGGAAATATTTTGATACCCAACAAACTTTTTAGGTAGGTGAAGAATTGTGCCCTTCTCGTCTGATTCTCCTCACTCCAAGCAAACAAAAAACAAACCTTTGTTTCAATGGTGGAAGCCGTGGGGAATCAGTAAAGACCTACTCAAAGTTGAAGCCACAACTTCCGGATGTCTCTTCTCTTTCCTGCCCAAATCTTCGTCCATCCCCCATTTCCTGGAGCCTTTTGCCCATTTTCTCTTTCTTTTCACATTGACATTTTTATTAATGCCAACTGTTTTTTAATTATTTTTTAAAACAATAGCATAAAAATGTTTCAAAGAAGCAGTCTCACAATCTGATGACCTTCTGAAATACAGTTAAGCCACACCAAGTATGAATTTCTGTTAATAACACAAAAAAAATTTAAGAGAAATTAAAGGAAAAGGAATAAGAAAGAAAAAAGAAAGATATGGAAAGAGGAAGGGAATGAATGAGATTTATAGCTAAAACTCATGGGATAGGTGACACTTGTTAGTAGGATATACAGTTGAAGCAAGAGTGACACAGTCTTTTTTTTTTTTTTTGAGACAGAGCCTCAAGCTGGCGCCTCAGCTGCTTGAGTCACAGGCGCCGAGCCCACAGTCTATTTTTTAAACCAGTGACAACTAATGTGTAGGCCCTGCAGCAGTTATCAATGACTTCTTACACAAAATGAGCCAAGAAGTCACCATGGTACTGTTATAAAGATGGTCAGTAGTTGGCTTGTCAGACAACTAAGCATTTTTAGCAGGGGACTCCTTCAGAAAGGCCTGGCTGAAGATCTTTTATGTCTATTGTCTCACCTATATGTATTTCAGGGTTCTAGAAGTCATCTTTAAAAAGAAAGAAAAAATAATGCATACCAGTTTCTTTTATGTGGCTCTGAAAGATGTTTCCTTATTAAGGACATGTGGTGAGGGTTAGGGGTTGAACTAAAGAGAGGAAAAAACCCAGAACTGGGTATTTTTTTAATCTTTTTTTTTGGAGGGAGGGTAAGGGGTCACACAGAAGGGAAGGCAAGGAGGTACAGATTGTACAGACTGAGTTATGCAGACAAATATATCTTCCATAACAGTCCCCAGGCCAAAAAATTTCTTCCCATTTTCTTTAATTTTGTTTTGTGTAAGCCTGTGACCAGACAGAGATCCTTTTTATTGATTTTGTCCTTTTAGGCTGTCGTGAAACTTCTTTTATCATAGCTGGAAAAAACTATCGCTCTGGCCAAGGGGAAATTAAAAGCCACAGATATATTTTTTGGTGATGCAGGGTTGGATGTGCTAAACACATTCCTCTAGTACAGATGTTTGGGTGCCTACTGTGCCATGCCCAGTGCTGCCCCAATGGGCAAGACAGTCCCTGTCTCTCAAGGCACAGTCTCTTGGGGGAACAGGATCAGCAAACAGGCCATTGCACTGTGGAATGGCCAGTATTGAGGCACCTAGTTCAGGACTGTGAATGCTAGGTGGCCTTCTGGAAGGAGTGATCAATGTCAAAGTCAGACAGGAAGCATAAGCAGTCTCTGGGAGGAACTGGGTGTGGGTCCAGAGCAAGGGAAGGCAAGGGATCTGGTCTTGATCTTGATGCACTGGTGAGCCATTTAAGGCTGTTCTGCAGATGTGGCTTAGAAGAGCAGGCTAGAGTCCAGACTGAAGGAGATGGCAGGAGACAGGCCAGGCAGCAGCAGGAGGGGACTGCGCTGACACTGCACAGTGGACACGAGGTGGCTTATCAAGATTACTACACTGGGCCCTGTCTACCTAATGGGCTGCTGGGAGGGAAAGGTAAGGGTGCCACCAACGATCCTGTCTCACACAACTGGTGTGGTTTCCTGAGACTGGGAGGGAAAGCTGACCTCAGCTGAATTTGAGGTATCCGTGGGACATCCGTCCCAGTGGCAAAACAAAATGCGTCGCTCAGGCTGAGCTCCCAGCAGTGGGGCATGGATGAGAGAAGCCTTAGCAGAGCAGGAGGGAGAGCAGAGACTGTGAGCGTAGACAGCTCTTTAGAAGTCTAGCTATAAAGGGTTTTTTTGTTTTTGTTTTTTGTATAGACACTCTCACTTTATCACCCTCAGTAGAGTGCTGTGGCGACACAGCTCACAGCAACCTTAGGCTCCCGCGATTCTCTTGCTTCAGCCTCCCTCCTGAGTAGCTGGGACTACAGGCACCCGCCACAACACCCAGCTATTTCTGTTGCAGTTTGGCCTGGGTGGGGTTTGAACCCGCCACCCTCGGTATATGGGGCCAGCACCCTACTGAGCCACAAGGCACAGCCCAGGCTTTGCTTTTTTAATGAAGCAGGTGACTGATTTATGTGGTACCAGTTAAGAGGATTAGCTGGCCTCGCATGGAGGACATGGAGGACAAGATGGGGACAGGGAAGGCGGTTTGCAGATTTAGAGCCAGGAAGTCCCACCACTGACCAATGCCCCTGATTTTCCTGGCAAAAGAGGAAGCAGAGACCTCTGCCAGTGAGAGGAAAGGCGTAGGGTGGAGGGTGGTAGAAATTTTAAGTAGTGGTCTGGAATCAAATAATCCGAGTAAAGAAACAGGATTGCTTTGGGGGTGGAGGACTTAAACAGCTCCCCAGAGGGGTCATGTTTATCCTTAGACAGACTAGCAATTTAATGCCTATACTGAATATTTCTTCAAATACTCAACCTGAGACAGTTTATTAGTAGTTTCATGGGTTGGTCCTCACCCCACCCATGGCCTCAGCACGCCTGTGGGGGTGTCAAGATTCGGGGACACTCCCATCATATTAAAGACACACCATCCTGGAATGGGCTTAGCACATGCAATCTTAAGTCATATTGTTAGTGCGGACACCTCTGGAGGCCCCAGGGGACCCCTGGCAAAGTCCTCGAAACTGAAACCTTGAGAGAAGGTGGTTTTCAAGCAGGAACAGACAAGTTCACCTACGACTCAGCCCTACACCCCCCTGTTATAGAATAGTTGTGTTTCTTCTGTTGAAGATTGAATTGCCTCTTCCAGCTTGCTGCACTGTATCTGAAAAACACAAATTCCTAATATTAATATGAATAATGTTTCTTGCTTTAGAAGCCAAGTTAAAAAACAATGCATTTTCTTTTCTCACTTTGTCACCCTTGGTAGAGTGCCATGGTATCATAGCTCACAGTAACCTCAGACTCTTGGGCTCAAGTGATCCTCTTGCCTTGGCCTCCCAAGTAGCTGGGACTACAGGTGCCCACCACAACTCCCGGTTATTTTTACTGGGGCTGGTCTCAAACTCCTAAGCTCAAGCAATCCACCCGCCTCAGGCTCCCAAGGTGCTAGGATCACAGGTGTGAGCCACTGTGCCCGGCCTAAAAACAACTCATTTTCTGAAAGCAATCCTCTCATAATCCAAGTTTTTCAATGATGTTTGATCTATAGCAAAAAAAAATATAACCTAACTCAGGGGTCCTCAAACTTTTTAAACAGGGGGCCTCCTTCAGACCGTTGGAGGGCTGGACTGCGGGCCCCAGGACGAGTGGGCTGCTAAGCAGGACAGGCAGCGGTAGACCTAGGCAGGCTGCTTGTGGCCCGCAGGCCGTAGTTTGAGGACGCCTGACCTAACTTCTTAAAAAATGTTTTCATGGTAGGGTGGTGCCTATGGCTCAAAGGAGTAGGGCGCCGGCCCCATATGTCAGAGGTGGTGGGTTCAAACCCAGCCCTGGCCAAAAACTGAAAAAAAAAAAAAAAAAATGGTTTCATGGAAAATTTCAGTTATAAACAAACAGAGACAGAATATAACAAACCCTCACGTCCCCATCACTCAGCAGTACCTATTAACACTCTGCAATCTTATTTCATCAAGCACTCCCCGTACCCAGTAATGAGAGCTTTTTCCTTGAGTATTTTAAAGTAAATCTCAGATATGTCATTTCACCCACAAATACTTCAATACAAAATTGCAAGTGATAAAGACTTTGTTAACATTTTTATAGAGATATGGTTATATAACTACTATGTCACGGTCTTATCTGACAAAATTAGCAACAATCCCCTAATACCACCTAACACCCAGCCACACTCCCAGTCTAGCAGGGTTGTAGGTGTATGTGGGTCATTATGAAAGTTCTTCACCAAAATGAAGAAACATAAAATCCACGCCGACAGAAACAAAGGAAGCCCTCCCAGCAGCAGCGATAAACTGAGCAAGCTGAAACTTGCACTGGTGAGTCAGAGGGGATGCTGTTGACTGTGTTTCCTGGAAGTGAAATAATGGACCCTAAAAACAGCCTGTCTCAAAACACTTGTAGTGATCCACGTACTAGCTGACACTGTCAGGGTCCTCAAGGTTCCAGACTTGAAAGGTGTGGCAGCCCATAGTATGTCTGAGGAGACATTCTGGGTGGGGGCCTGCTGGAGCCCCTCTTGGCCTTCTCTGCAAGTGGAGTCAGTCACGGGAACTGGGACCAGGAGTTGGGGCCCCCACCAGCCCAGGGCTCCTGCTCATGTACCTCCATGCCCACCTTGGACCAACAGGGTATTTTCAGGGTCCAGCAAGACTTGGTATTTGGGGTTGTGTGGGGAGACTGACTCCATTTCCTGCCTCCACACTTGCCACCCGGGTTGTGCCCCCTTCAAGCCTCACCTGACTCCCCCAATGCCTACCTCCTCAGCTGGACAGTGCAAGCCCCACCACCCTGCCAGTCACAAGCAGCTCCACATGCCCTTTCAGCCATCCTGCACCCTCCACTGGGAAGGCCCTATTCCCTCTCCCATCGCTGCCCGTTAAAATCCACCTAGTTCTAAAAGTTGCACCCCCTCTATGAAGCCTTGCCGGGTCGGGGTAATTGTTTTTTCTCTAATCTCCCCATAGTATTTCAGCCATGTTTACTGTTGGGTAACAGTTGTTTCCATATAAGGCAGACTACCAAGACTGCACCTACTCTGTTTCTCTCCTCCCACAGCTGCAGATTTTTTTTTGAGACAGAGTCTCACTATGTCACCCTCAATAGAGGGCTGTGGTGTCATAGCTCACAGCAACCTCAAACTCTTGGGCTCAAGCGATTCTCTTGTCTCAGCCTTCTGAAAAGCTGGGATTACAGGAGCCTGCCACAATGCCTGGCTATTTTTAGAGACAGGGTCTCCCTATTGCTCAGGCTGGCCTTGAACTCATGAGCTCAGGTGATCCACCTGTCTTGGCCTCCCAGAGTGCTAAGATTACAGGCATGGGCCACAGCGCTCAGCCTAGCAGTGGAATTTTTTTTTAATTATTTAAGACTTTTATTAATAGATGCTTGCAGTTTGTTGACTTTTTTGAAAAAATCATGTTGTAAACTTTTATTACAAATTAAAAATGAAGTTCTTAAAAGTCTCAACTTGACCAGATATGAAACAATTTAAAAACATTAAAAAAGTATTGAGAGGCTCGGCGCCTATAGCTCAACAGGCTAAGGCGCCAGCCACGTACACCTAAGGTGGTGGGTTCAAATCCCCAGCCTGGACCCACCAAACAATGACGGCTGCAACCAAAAAATAGCCGGGCGTTGTGGCGGGCGCCTGTGGTCCCAGCTACTTGGGAGGCGGAGGCAGGAGACTCGCTTGAGCCCAGGAGTTGGAGGTTGCTGTGAGCTGTAATGCCACGACACTCTACCCAGGGGGACAGCTGGAGGCTCTGTCTCAAAAAAAAAAAAAAAAAAAAGTATTGAGAAAAACCAGGTTTTTAAAAAATACATATTTTTTATTACCAAAAAATATGTCTTTAGGTAAAAATAATAGAACACTCCATGCTGTCATAGATAGTGCAACTAGTTCTAGTTATCTGGTCAATGGGCAAAAAGCAAGCACTTAAGGTCTTCATCTCCAATCTTTTGTTCATCTCTTATTCCAGGAATTTCACCCTCATTTCTTCTTGCTGGATGACAAAACCAGTTGATGGGAGAGATGGTGAGCCAGCATTACCCAGCCCCACCCTGCTCAGCTGACTAATTCTTACCAGTTGGATCGGCTGCTTTTGTCTCTTTGCCATCTCATGATTTAGAGTTTTCTGGGCATCTGAGTTGGTAATCAAAATTGCGATGGTACCCACATTGAGATGGCTGCTGACCTTGGGTCTCATCTTCTTTTTTTTTGAGACAGAGTCTTGCTGTTGTTGCCCTCAGTAGACTGCCATGGCATCACAGCTCACAGCAACCTCCAACTCTTGAGCTTAAGTGATTCTCTTGCCTCAGCCTCCTGAGTAGTTGGGACTACAGGTGCCCACCACAATGCCTGTTTGTTTGTTTTTGTTGTTATTGTTGTAGCTGTCATTGTCTATCAGGCCTGGGCCCAGTTCGAACCCGCCAGCCCCGACCACTAAGTGGCCAGCGCCCCGACCACTAAGCTATAGGCACCGAGCTGGTCTTCTCTTGATTCTCTTTATCCTCTTCACGCTGTCCTCTCTGGGCTGTCTGTGGCAAGGAGGGCCCCTGCAGAATCATGGTCTATAGCCCGGATACATATTCTGCCTTACTGATCTACCTTGTTCTCCTGCACCCTAGTTGTCAGCACCTGCACCACTTCTCCCTGCACAGGGGGGTTGGAACCCTGTGGTCGACACCCAAAGGGTCTCCACACATAGTAAGGTGAGAACTTCACCTGCAGTAGCGCTGCTGGGCCTGGCCTTTGGGAGCACTCTCCGATGCCTGGTTCTTTCCCCTACCCTGTCTATTTTAGTAATTCTGCTGCTAACTTCAACATGGATAGTGCCTATAATGGTTACAGTCTGCTGTGTCGTTACTGCCCTGAACTGAAATTCCACCAGGGCCTGTAACATCTGCTGCCTCCACACTCTTTTCCCCTTCAACAACATCAAACTCCACAGTTTCTCCTATACTGTGAAGGGACTTCGTGTGGTCATTCTTCTTTACGGCAGTCTGGTGTGCAAATACATCTTCCTTGGTGTCATTCCTGCTGATGAGACCATATCCACTTCTTTTTTTTTTTTTTTTCCAGTTTTTTAGCCAGGGCCAGGTCTGAACCCACCACCTCCAGCATCTGGGGCTGGCGCCCTACTCCTTTGAGCCACAGGCGCCTCTCGACCATATCCACTGCTTACATTGAACCATTTTACTGTTCCCCAAACCTTCGTTGTGATGACTTTTTTGTCCCTGCTGACAGGCACCACCGATGTGAGGCCCCCTGGGCCACCGCTCTCTGCGCTGTGGCCTGTGGTGCCCAGCTTGGTGTCAGTGCTGAGGGCAGGGCGATGGGCAGCTGCTGGGTCTCAACCTCAATGCTCATGGTTGTGGTGATGGTGTTGGGGCCCGCTGCGGTAGGTGCGGCTCCTCCCAAAGTGTGATGGTAACTAGGCCAGCGGCAGCAGTGGGGCTGCTCGGGGCTTCTACTACCCATCAAACTCCACAGCAGCGGAATTTTAAACAGGTCCACAGTGAAGACCTCACTGCCAGTCTCCTCGCAGTAAGGCTCAGCACAGGATGGGTTCTGGCCGGTGCAAAGCGGAAGTGGTGCGTGGCAGCAGGGACCAGGGATGGTGCATCTTGTGCCCCCGGGATGGTGGCAGCATGCTGAGCTGGAAGGAGACAGGTCCCTGAGGACTGTGTGATGTGATGACACCTGACGTGGACCTCACACTTTATAGGAACAAGAAGTAAACTTCTACCTAGTTCAAGGCACTGTTTCCACATCTCAGTTATGGCCAAATGTAACCCTAGCTAGTACCTGTGCCAGCACTTCCTTCTTGGATTCTCTTCCTGGCTACTGAAATCACCCTCAGCCAGAAACCTGGTGCCCCTGACCGTTTCCTCAGCATCACTGCCCTGCCACTTCTGATCTGAGTGCTCCCAAGTTCAGGTGCATTCAGTTCAAGAATTTCTCTCTGACCTGCCAACATGGGCTAGTCCAAACCCTGTCACCTCCAGCCTGAGTTACTTCCACAGCCTCCGAACTGTCCACCCGCCAGCCAGGATCCAAAGAGGGATCTTTCCCAATGACAACCTGAATAAGCCACTGTGCCCTGGAAACACTTCCCTCCCTGTCTCCACAGTGAAGCTGTACCACTGGATGGGAACTGTAAGGCCCTTCACCAACCAGCCAGGTCACAGCCTGGGCCCAGGCTTCAGGGCCTCTCGCTTCATAGCCACGTAACAAATGGGTGACTGCACACCTCGCTTGAGCCTCAGCTTCTCCCTCTGCAAAGTGGGACTGACAAAGCTTCCTCTGAAGTCACTGTGAAGATAGGAGGTTCTCTGGCACAGTCCCCAGGACACAGAAGGTACTGAGAAACAGAAGCCACTCCTGCTGGAAGCGGAGGCACACTGTGGCATCCCCGCTCCCATATTCCAAGACTTCACACAGGCTGCTCCCTTCCCGACACCCCCACAGTACTATTCCTATCCCTCTACTATCCTGCTACACTTGCTGTCACACCAACACCCAGGAGGAGCGTCTCTCCCTTGCTGGCCTGAGGAGCCAAGCACAGCTCATAGAGCCCTGTGACTTTAGGCCAGTGGCCACCTGATTCAAGAAGGCCAGTAAGTGGCCTCAGCCCACAGAGGGGACAGAGGATGGTAGCAGTGAAGGGGGAGGGCCGCCTCTTGTCTTGACCACTGACAGGATATACTGGGCCCATTCTCTCCGGAGGGCAGACCACATGCCTGCCAGGGCCCAGCCGCAGAAAGAAACCACAGTGGAAAATCAAAATGTGACGTAGAATCTAAGTTACTCATGATACTGGAAAAATGAATCCTGCCAACTGTAATGACTCAAATTTGTACAAAACTGACAAGAGCTATGGCCAGCTAATGAATGCCAAACACCACAGACCTGAGATTCTGGCTCCTAGCCAGGGCAGGGTCCCTAGGTTCTGTGGTTCCCATTGACCAGAGCCCTGGGTGGCCCAGATGTCACACTTCTTTCATAGCAGCCCTCCTTAACAGCAGACACAGGGCAGGGACCACTCGCTGACTTATCCCGGCACCCAGCCCCAGGTCTGTCCAGGCAGGTGCCCAGTGGGCATCTGTGCACTGAGCAAGAGAGTGGGAGGGCTCGGCACCTGAGGCTCAAGCAGCTAAGGTGCCAGCCACATACGCCTGAGCTGGTGGGTTCAAAACCAGCCTAGCCTCGCGAAACAACAATGACGGCTACAACCAAAAAATAGCTGGGTGTTGTGGCAGGCACCTGTAGTCCCAGCCACTTGGGAGGTAAAGGCAGGAGAATCGCTTGAGCCCAGGAATTGGAGGTTGCTATGAGCTGTGACAGCTGTGATGTCATGACACTCTACCCAGGGCAACAGCTTGAGGTTCTGTCTCAAAAAAAAAAAAGAGAGAGTGGGAGGGCACCAGAGCACAGGGCCAGAGATCCACCAAGGTTCAAAGGCCCTTGGCACGGGCCAGCCTGTAGACAACCCAAATGCTCTACTCTCAGGGAGTGTGGGTGCACTCAGAAGTAATATGTCCAAAAGGCTTCATTTACATGACAAGAGTTTGAGGCTGCTGTGAGCTGTGACACCTCAGCACTCTACTAAGGGTGACATAGTAAAACTCTGTCTTAAAAAAAAAAAAAAAAAAGTGCGGCTCGGCGCCTATAGCTCAACCAGCAAAGGCGCTAGCCACGTACACCTAAGGTGGCGGGTTCGAATCTCCAGCCCGGACCCGCCAAACAACGATGGCTGCAACCAAAAAACAGCCGGGTGTTGTGGCGGGCGCCTGTGGTCCCAGCTACTTGGGAGGCAGAGGCAGGAGACTCGCTTGAG